ATGGCCGCGCGGCCGCGGTCCCCTGCCGCCTCTAGGAAATAACGATGCAAAAAAATTGCATCGAACACCTCCCAAAGTTATAACTACTGATGACCCTGGTCGACCATTTACCTTTTCTGTTATCCACTGTCTTCGTTCGGTGTGGCGGCGCCTGCCGTAGGTTGGGTGTAGCACAAAAATCACGGTAGCGCGCGTGGGTATATTACTCCAATAAACGGTGGCGCGCAGGACGGCTCGGCCGAGCGCAACGACAGCGACGCGGCGGACTGCTGTGACTGACTGACTCAAATGTGACCGAAGGAGAAGGAAGCTGTCGTCTGCTGTTCTTGCCCTTACCCCCTTACCCTTCCGCCCCCGCTTACCCCGCCTCCAACACTCCACCAGGCAACACGCCGGTGGCGGTCAGGAGAGCAAAAGGACTGCTGACCTACAGCTGACTCATATGTCTGGGCCAGAGGCTGGCGTTGATACGAAGCGGCCTCCTTGTAACCTTACCGCACTTCCGCGGCCAGCGGGGCCGATGCGGGGGGTCACAACATCTCCCCCCCCCCCTCTCCCCAAGTCCCGCGCCGCAGCCCAGCGGCCCTAAGCGCCGCGCCTAGCTATGCTGAGAAGTCATAAAACCTGAGTCTACCCCGCCCCTTTCCTCCGCCCCGTCCCGCGCCACAGAGGCAATGATAGCGCGCCAACTTTAAACTTCTTCGCAACTTAATATCCCATGTAACGAGTAAAATGTATCGGCGTTACGTCTCGTTACTGACGAGGGTAACCCCCTCTTGGGGTAACTATAACGCGTTACCGATACAGCCCAATTGAAAATGTAACGCGTTATCGTTATCGTTACAGTAACGAGTAACGCGTTACAGTAACTTCGTTACTGCGTTACTGTAACTTTAACAACCCTGGTCGGGTTGAGCGCAACCCGACGGTCTTCTGTCTGGGTGTACAAAATCCGAAAAGCCCACATTATTCAATGTGGTCTGAAGAGGCTTCACGTGCCCATACCAGGCCTCAAAAAGAGAATTCTTTGCAAAGATATTGTTCTTACATAGTAATTTAAAGAAAGATAGGGGATATCCGCACAAGTGGTGCGAATAGGTGAAATAAAATTATGTGCACAAATTGTGCGAACGAAGACCAACTTGGCGGGGGCGGGGTTCCCTTGTGAGTCTAGTGAGTGGGAGAGAGACAGAAGACCATCGGGTTGCGCTCAACTCAACCCTACCGATCGGAACACTGGTCCTGACAGGGTTTAACCCATGCCCGGCCCGGGCCAGTTGTTGGGACCGATCGGGCCACA